GGAGAATAACGTGAAAATGTCGTCATTTTCCCCCAACTATAGACAAGATTGAGAGACACTGTTCGTATCGCGTCAGTCTCTCCTGAATCTCAAACCGCCACGGTTCGCTACTGCAACCTCCTCAACTCCTAACAATGTCGACACTCTTTCGCTCTTTCTCCTTTTTCTGGAGACTTCCTCTCCTACTTCTTTATACAGATTTCTCTTCCGCTTTCTGCTCCTTGATCCCGAGGCTGAAGAAAGAATAAGAAGATACTCTTGATCCCATGATCATCGTCGATGTTAGTTCTTTATTCGATTCGATTACTCTCTTCAGTTTTCATTTATTATTGTGGAATCTGATTTTTGGATTCTCTTCTTTTGCTCTTAGCTTCTTTGGAAATTGTTTCCTCTATACTTGTTCGGATCAGGAAGTGATTCTCTCTCAGGTATTTCATCGAACACTTTATCCACACTATTCAGTCAGACTCTGTTCTTTCCTCCACTCAATTCCGTATGATCTTATGCTTGATTGCTAGATTCTGAAACTGTAGTACTTGTTCTGAATTGCGTTATCTGTTGTTTTATGGACTATGGAAACAAACAAAAAAAGAGTCCCTTTTGCAGGTAATTCCCGAGACAATGGCTTCTTCTTCACCGTCTAATATCCTCTGTAATGTTGGCGAATCAGACCTCTGCCGAGACGATTCAGCTGCATTTCTACTCAAATTTGTAGCCATTGCTTCCATTCTCTTAGCTGGAGCTACTGGTGTAGCCATACCTCTCGTTGGCAAAAACCGACCGTTTCTTCAAACCGAGGGAAATCTCTTTGTAGCTGCTAAAGCCTTTGCTGCGGGTGTTATACTCGCTACTGGTTTTGTCCATATGCTTGCAGGTGGCACGGAAGCTCTCACTAATCCGTGCTTACCGGATTATCCGTGGTCTAAGTTTCCATTTCCCGGGTTCTTTGCAATGGTGGCTGCTTTAATCACTCTGCTTGTGGATTTCATGGGGACACAGTACTATGAGAGGAAGCAGCAGAGCCAAGAAGCTGCTAGTGAAGCCGCTGTTGTTGAGCCTGGTCGTGAAGAGACATCTGTTGTTCCCATGGTTGTTGAAAGAGTAAACGAGAATAAAGTGTTTGGTGAAGAAGACGGTGGCGGGATTCACATTGTTGGCATTCGTGCTCATGCTGCTCAC